TTTATAGTGTCATTTAGCACCTTTCTGTTTGATCTGGATTCTTTGACTAATGCTGACAGTGTCATAAGACATGCAGAGTCCAATATTTATCATTAATCACAAGAGACTATGTAGTATTATGGGATATTTTCAGAGGTGTGTTAATTGTCTTATGGTAAGATTCTAGAACATCATGTGCTCTTCTCTGTACCTCCTAAAGGACATAATCATGACATCATGGTCATAAGACATGTTGTTCTGCTCAGCTAGCAGTCTATATGCTTCTTTTCCTCTATTAATACTGAACAGACCGTTCTCACTTCCTATATATCGTATATATATATATATCGTGTATATATATATATATATATATATATATATATAAAAAATGTACCCCTAGATAATAAAGCTTTGTGCCTTGATTTGAACTGCACACATTCTGGGCTCCTGGGTATATCTGTCTCTTTTCTGTGCTACATCGCTCAACCAGAACAGATCTGATCTCAAATTCTTTATTCTAACACTCATCAATGGCTGAATGGATCTGATCTGCAGGTTTATTTTAGCGCTCCTGACGCCTCTGTGGGAATCGAGCCGATCTGCTGCATGTCTCAGTTACCGTGGCAACATATTTCTGCATGTAAAATCCCATCTAAAATGCAGCAGAGCTCGCAGCAAAGACACACAGAAACGATTCCACATCACAGGCGCAATGCAATACCTGCACCACTGTGAAATATTAACATGAGAAACATTAATAATGCATCTGCAGGCATAAATATCCCTGTGGAGAACATCATGTCCAAACCAATCGTCCCAAACACCGAGACGGAGAACACACACCTGATCTGAACAAACACAAACCAGACGCTCCACTGACATCAGCAGCATATCAACCAGCCAGAAAAACACCTGCACATTCACAGTGAATGGGTGCCGTCAGAATGAGAGTCCAAACAGCTGATAAAAACATCACAATAATCCACAAGTAATCCACAGCACTCCAGTCCATCAGTTAACATCTGGAGAAGACAAAAGCTGAAACAAATCCAGCATTAAGATGTTTTTAATGTTTAAAATACAAGTCCATAATAACACTT